TTGCATAATGTTTACATAAAAGCCTACATTAAAAACTGTCATATAAATTGGTCTCTTCATTAGAAATTAGCCTACTGATTGCCACCATTGATGGACAAAATTTTTTAATACTATTAAAAATATCTGTATGACATTATATTCTGCAGTTCTTTTCTGTTGTACCGAATATCTATACTTTTCAAATTATCATATCGAAGTTAGAAATTCAAATATTGTGACAAAATTAATTTTGTAGGGTGCCACAAGTTTGTTAAAATTTCCAAAGGGTGCCGCGACTAAAAAAAGGTTGGGAAACACTGCTCTAGACTAAACAAAAGTGCGAGTGTCACTCTGGAATTTACCGTCACCGCTGGCCCGGCGAAAGCCAGACTGAAGAGCATGAGGAAGGGGATGACCTCCTTTGTGGGCTCAATGTAAGGCATGCTGAGACTCCGGTCATTGCAGCTGTAGCCCGAACGCACTGGCTTAAAAATATCTGTCAACTCCAAGAAGTATAAGCTGACCACAGAGGACACCAAAATCGGGAGCTGTAGAGATAAAACAGAAGGAATATGATATATTAGACGGGTCTCGTTTACTAAATATGCAAGATGAGTAGAGAACAACAATAAAAATCATGCAAATTCTATTACGCAAATGGTGCACTGTCCCATAGTTTGCTAGTTTAACTCATCCACGCTAATTTGCAAACAGTTGCTAACATAATAGCAGGTAATTATTCCACTGACAATGCAATGAAGGTACTGTATCTGATCATGTGATCTGTATTTTGCCACTGTTTCACATTTAGGATTGAGCTCACCTGGGATGCATATCCCGTACAATGATGTAACTCACTGATTAGTACAGTGCAGTGGAGAAGCACATTGTGCACAAGTGCTCTCTTTAAAAGCGGTGCTGATTGTTCACACACTAAAATATTTATATTATATAGTCTCTTTAAAATGAAAGTTCCAGATGGAGGTTTTCGCAGCAACGCCGTAGAAGAGCCATTTTTGGTTCCCTAAAGAACCTTTCAGTAAACAGCTCAAGAACCATTTAGACCTATTTTCTTAAAAATTCACACTGCCAGCCACTTTGTGTGTCGCTAGTCTCTATACTGTGATGACGATTGTGGGCTTTCCTATGCTGTCACTCTAATGTTATTGGTAGACTGCACGTCCGGCCATATGTTTATAAAATGCAATCACAATTGATATACATTGCAGAAAAATAAGATTCCATTCTAATCTGACTTAATGAACATTCAAATTAGACTTGCGAGATTTAAAAGTAGCATTCTGCTATTGAAGAGTACTGTTACATAAACTACAGCAATGCTCAAAAATTACTAAAACATCATTCGAATTTGACAAATAATCAATTTTCTTGCCACTAATAATCAACATTATGCAGGGGAAACTGTAAATATAAACTGCAACAGTGCTAAACTGCTCACTACATCATATATTAACAACACAAACTATCAATGTATGAATCAAACTCACTAAGACTGACGACAGTTACTTTTCCACACAGCTTATTATATCCATGTAAGTGGTTACAGTAAAATCATATAAAACAGTGAAATCGCTGCAGAACTCTGCCGTCTTTCTTGCACTACAGGCAGTGACGTGTGAGCTCCACTGACATAGTCTTCACTCCTATTGGTTGTCGCTCGCAAATTTACTGTTCATTTGCATAAAGTTAAACTTTTCTTAACTTTGTCGTATGACTCACATCGCTTGATGCTTACATTCACTGTCGCTCATGTCACCGGAAGTCGCCAGCTCTCCATTGATGAAATCGCTGCTGTCTTTCTTGCACTACAGGCAGTGACGTGTGAGCTCCACTGACATAGTCTTCACTCCTATTGGTTGTCGCTCGCAAATTTACTGTTCATTTGCATAAAGTTAAACTTTTCTTAACTTTGTCGTATGACTCACATCGCTTGATGCTTACATTCACTGTCGCTCATGTCACCGGAAGTCGCCAGCTCTCCATTGAGAATGAAGGGGATCATGTTGCTCTGTTGCTGCGTGTCGCTGGTGGTGTGAACTTTAGTGTTAAGAACATTTCAATAATCTGAAGAACTTTTTTTACACCATAAAGAACCTTGGATTCCATGGATGTTAAAGGTTCTTCATGGGACAATAGATGCCAATTATTCTGCTTTAAGAGTGTATGCATTCAAATGGAATGAACAGTAAAGAATGTACTGCATGATAGCTTGCTTGCTGTGCCCAAGAGAATGGTCTATTTAAGTGCATGTCCTACTAACAAGAAACAACACTTTGCCATAATTTGAGAGCTGTAGTTCCAACCTCGTAAGTTTGTGATACTGTTTGCGAATGTTCATTTGAAATATGGTTTTGGGAAAAAAAATAATCGTTAAAGTATGTTAGTAATTACAGAGCTTGTGACTAGTTGGCTAACAATGCTTTTGGGAAACATGCTGTTATCCTTTTAAATCATACTGTATTTCATAATACTTGTTTGTAATACCACAACATTTGTCTCCTAAAAAAGAAAACACTATTGGTGCTGAAGTGTAAAATGCATTGGGAGATCCTTGCTTCTAAAAACCTAAATGACAATGACTGTGTATTGGTGCTTGTCGAGCTAACTGCTACGATCAGCGTTATGTTAGTAAATGAGTGCCGATACGTATAATGAGGGTTTGGATGAAACTATGCTGGAGTTACATCCCCTGAGACTTTTCACACTCGTCAACGGTACTGGGTTCACGCTAAGGTTAGACAGAAGATGTGTCATTACGGGAGAATGAAGGGTATTCTCAGGTGAATATGCAAGGAACTTCTTTAGATATCCTAGAATTACTCTTGTCATTGACACGGTTCACCCCATAGTATCTCAATGAACAAGGATCAGCTGGAGATGTCTTTGCTGTTGCAGCTCCCAGGAGGAAATATATTACGCTGTGCTATGCAAAGTGGAAATATGCCATCGTACTGAATAATTACAAAACTTGAGCAGACAGAATGAAGATCAAAGGTGGGAGTAGGGGTTTAATTACTGTAATCAAGCCCCTTCTAAAAAGGGGAGAACATCTGCAGAAAAAGCCCCTGTGGTCAAAACTCCTAGTGATGCTGTATCTTACAGCACAAATACTAATAACCCCTATGACATTTGCACTGGACCAATTGGAGCTTCAAACTAATATCAGTTATTGTCTATGGTCCACCCATAACTATTATTAATTCTGTAGTAAACAAATTAATTCTGTAGTTTGACTGTGTATTTACTGATGTTTAGCAGTGAATTGCATCTGAACATGTATTTAACTTTAAACATTTCTCATTTATATTTTGTTTAAGTTATTACAACAATAGCACACAGCTTACAATGCAATACTTACATATTATATACACAAAAACAAGAATAAAACTGTTTACCTTTCTTGTGAGCCAACAAAACTTGCAAAATGCTTTCTGACAATAAAGCAACAATTTTCCTTTTCTTTAAACAAGAACATTACATTTTAAATTAGTTTTAACAAAGCTAAATAGTAAAGAGTGCTAATGCCTTTATACAAAGAAGGGATGCACAATATCAGTACCAAATCGGTTATCAGCTGATATTTTTTTATTATTATTTATTTATTGGTCAATAATATATTGTCTGATATTGGACATTTAATTGTTCATGCACATTTTGCCTATTTTTACATTTAGATTATCTTTGCTGTCCTCTAACACTTACTTAAGTCTTTGAAAACATGCTGAACATTTTGTTTTGATGGCTACATGAACGTGTAGCACTTAAAACTATTTACTTTAGTTTAGAGCTTTATTTTTTATGTATTTATATAAAATAGTGTAAGATTTAAATATCTGCTATTTATTGGTTATTGGCTAAAAATTGTTATCGGTTTTTCTGTATTTTAATATCAGTGGATCTCTATCTAATGCCCAAATTAAAATTATTAAATATTTTATAAACCTTGCTAGCTAATCATGGCTGAACAACTGAACAAGAAACAATTTGATATTTACATCATTAGGAAAGTAATCGTGGGAACATATTGTAGAAAAATTAGGAATGTATTGGCCAGACACCAGTGTAGAATGTCAAAGGCATAATAACTTACAACCTAAACTGAGATCTGTCAGCATATTGTGTATGTTAAATATTAAGTTTATAAAGAACCGTCAAAATAATTCTTTTTTTTTTTCAGGACAAGTTAAAACTTCTTGGCCATCTTGTAGTTCATTTAGTAAACTGAAACATATTAGTGAAACAGGGAAGTTAATTAGGCAAAATTAGTGAAGCGAAGCATATTAAATTACTTCATTTTTAATTCGTTCTCAGTTTAGGATGGAAACAAGGTCTCTGCAGCAAGGCTACTCTATAGAAGGCAACCAGGTCACACCTGGGAACATCATATTCATTTCATTGAGCTTTAATTCTGTCTGATTTGACAAAACTGAGACATTTCCTGGTAAGTTGTTTAAAGGACCTTACATTTGATGTCTGGATGGGGACATGTATCATGAAATCTTTCTCGCTACCCATGGCACAAAGATCATATGTGAATCTTAATGAAAACAAAGTTATACTTTTATCAACAACACATTAAAGCCTTGTGTCATTCATTCCAGTTTTACAATGAATCACTCACAAGTCTTATTAGAAAAAAAATCTTGTAGTTCATTATGCCTTCATTCTCTAAAATGAACTGTTTAAACAGAATAGAAAGCCAGTAGTCTATAGTTCTTGACCATGGCATTTAATACATACTACAGAATGTTTTAATACTCTTTAATATTCAAGAAACAGGAAATTCAGCACTGCAGCTTGACGCGTAAACAAGACAGATCAGAGACTGCCACCATTATTTCCATGACACCAGTGATCAGCACTCATTTGTTTGTGATATCTAGGCCATGTCAGATTGGCCTTCATATAATAACTGTATTCTAACCCCACTATATTCAATAGTGCCCTCTTAATTCTGTGTCAGCAAGCATTGTTTAAATCACAGACTTAATTTTCAGAAGGTTTCCAGTCCTGTTATTAGTGGATTTCTTCACTCTGACTCTGAAGTAATACTCTGCTAAGGCCATGTTGTCTGTGCCAATGCATATTGCATCTTAAAATCAGGAAAAGATTGTTTTTGAATGGCCGACATCAAGAAGCAAGCCGAAATTTGATGCGCAAAAGCCAGAACACAATTTTTATGTAGGCTATTTCACTTCACATATCACGCATACCCCCTTAACATTAACATGATATACAACAAGTGTTAGTTAGCATTTGCCCTTATCACGACCAGAACTGCACACAGTATGTATGTAAAGTAAACGAGCAGTCATGCAGAATGAACACTGTGGTTCCAATCCGCTTGATTGCTTTGATTTTGAACGTGACCATCTCGTAAATGAAGACCACCATCAACTCTCTTCTATTAATTAGTCATAATACAAAAAGAACAGCTCTCAACTCACTCACCTCCACGAAATAAAAGCAGGGCAGCAAGGTAACGCTGTCTTTGGTCATCTTGCCTTTGAGTCTTTCCTTCGCAGACATGATAAACGGTACGTCCCTTTAAAAACCCGGTGCGCGAAGAGAGGAACACTGAAGCCCAGCTGGTGTAATTTCTCCCCGTGTGCAGTAATTGAGCTCCTTCAGGCAGTCGCTTTCTCCATCCCCAAGTGCGCTTTTACTGCGGATGCAGACACACGGAAAGATGTTGTATCAAACCTGGCGACATCATGACTGAAACCATGACAACACAATCACTATACCCTGAGGATGGGCTGATGGAGATGTAACAATGTCCGACACCAATTAATGTTTCAAGCCAACCTTCAACCCACTGATTAGAGGCAATATGCTGACCAGATGACGTCAGCGGTGTGCTAAAAACCCATTTTCACCAGAAGCTAGCGTACGTGTGTGCGTGTCTGTGTGAGAGAAGAGAAGTGCGGGCGTTCACACTTGTTCACGCTGTAGTGTTTGTCAAATGGCTTAAAATACGGCTCAGAGAGGTTGTAGATTTTGATAAAGAGGCGTTTTATAAATACATTTTATTACTGATATAAGGACGCTGTAATGATTTGCCAAGTAATAATTCATAAGGCATTGTAAAATACGCATTTTATCCACCGCTAGTCTATTAAATAGCATAGGTATGAAAAAACTGCAGTTTTTGGTACGGTTGGGGTCTCAAGCATGACTTGCCTAAATATTGCATTAAAAGTCCCTAAGATTATTGCAGAGCGCCAATGAATAAGTTGAAGAGCAGAACTGCATATTTAAGCATTCATATTTTATCGTATCACTATCGTATAGCAAGTAATAAATAATAAACATACTAATATGTTCGTCCTTCTGTCAAATAGGCCTATGCATAAAGTGATACGAAAAAAACAAAATGCCAAAATGAGAATGTCTGTTTGGAGTCCGTAGCCTATACATTATAAAATACTCGGTCGAATTTTTTTATTCAGCATATAACTTGGGTTATTTTTTCCCCTTAAATGTTCTTCTAAACTCAATTTCCCAAAAACTCATTCAGAGTGAACTAAGAAACAGTATAAAGCCAACATGAATCTTTTGAATTTTTTTGAATCCTTTGAATTTGGTTTCAGTGTACACTCGCGCCATCTACCGGATATTACAGTACATTACAATTTTATATAGGATGAGTGGCGATTGCATTCAGGATTTAATGTACTCATTTCTACCTCCAATTTTATCTTACTAGTAAGCTTTAAAGCAGAGCCAGATTAGGTACTGTATTAATTGTCTGCATGACGTTTCATAAACTCCACATATAGAGTCTTTCACGTGCTTAACACATTTTTGCTAACTATATCAAAGGCGGCATCTGAAGGACTCGGACCGGTCAAACAGCACTGTTCAGTAGTGACAGCTGCCGCTGAACATTGAGCTGTACAATGCTCTATTTTTTTATTCACAGTTTTATTTTTGCTAACCTGTCTACATATGATCACCATGGTCAAGACAATAAACTATATAAAATCGCACCTTTGTAAGATATCAGTCAGCATTTGAACTGCTATGTGTGTGTGTGTGTGTGTGTATTTGGTAGTTTTTCATATGTATCAGTACATTATTAAAGTAAGCTCCAAGCCAATTCCTGCATTTAAAGTTGTAATCCGACAAAGGACGCAGCAAACCAGTGTAATTACAGTAACAATATTGCGGATATAGTATATCCAAATGTTCTTTCATACTACCCATATTCATACTATATAGAACATACTTTTTTTAATGGTTGTGAAGTAAATTCAAATTCAAATGTAGTATGTGATTTCGGACACACAATTCATAGGTTTCATGTGACGTCACACAGTGGTGCGGCCGCCATTTGTAGGACCGAATTGCAGTCAGTGTTGCCAACTTAGCAATTTTGTTGCTAAATTTAGCAACTTTTCACACTACCCTAGCAACTTTTTCTTCCAAACGCACCTAGCAACAAATTTAGCTGTTTTTAAAATTTATTTGGCAACTTTTAGCAACTTTTGATAAGTGACTCAAACAATAAAAAGGCACACATTTTCCAACAAAATTACACAAAAAGAGGCAACCAAAGATGCCTAGCAGTACACAACATCACGTGAATTAAGTTATTGCTATTTGCAGTTATTTGATTTGATAATAATAATAATTTAATAATTGTTCATTTATGATACACCTTGTTAGTAGCTTGTACCTGCGATTGTTGATCAATTAGTACACTGTAAGAAAAATATCTAGAAAAATGGAAAAGGTACTAGTAATTTTCCAGGACATTATCCGTTATCCATTATTCATTATCCATTGTAACCCTGTAACACGAAAAACCCGAAAACTATGCGTAATTTAAAATGCAGGTAAAAAAACCTGTGAAAAATCAATATGGAAAATTCCTTAAATTCCTTCAAGTAGATTGTGCCCTAGTTCACTCGCTAATAAAAAAATCTTAAATTGTAAGC